GCTTTCGCGACGAAGTTTATTTCGTGAATCAATTTTAAACACTTAGACCATAGATTACTTTTGTGAAAAGAAAGTTTTCAAACAAGAGTTATCAAATCCCATTCGAATTATTACTATATATCGATTACCTAAGTTTAGCTAGACATGGAATTGGGAAAAACAAAACATAAATAAGAATAATAAATAATAAATTGCGTTATAATAAAACATAAGTCGATCAAAATGAAAACCTGTAAATAATGCCAATTGGCCTTTGGGCAGATCCTCCACAGATGTTGGCAGGATTCTGGTCTTTAGTGCCAATTTGATTGTACAGTACAATAGCAATTACAAAAGAGCGGAAATGGGAATGAGGAAATGTAAAGGGAAATGAATATAAATAAAAACTGGAAAGTAAGTTGCTCTGGAAATTAAATTCGGCAGCACTTCGTGGTATGAATGCAGCCCCCTTTCTGAAGTCCTCTGCTTCCCTTTTTATAGAAGTGGAATCCCAACGGTTATCTCTGAGGATGATGGACTTTGAGGCAGATAATTTAGGGAGTAGTGGTCCACTTAATGGGAATTGGAACTGCTCTTTTGACGTGAAATCTGAGTGGGGCGTTTTTGCCTGCATGACGGTCGTCACAAGGTGTGACGGTCGTCACCCGTGTGACGGTCGTCATGAAGCTGTGACGGTCGTCACATCAGCAAAAACTGATTGATGCGCTTTTCATTGTGTTTTCACTCCTTTTTCATCCATATTTCATCTGAGATTGCTCCTTTTCTTCATGTTGCCTTGTTTAGACGTGATCGTTGAATACCTGCAAAAACATCAGACAAATACACGGAAATAACCCGAAATCGGATCGAAAACGGTTAGCTTTTAGTCGAATTATGCATGAAAATATCTATATGATTTCGTGTTATCACACCCATGGCTTTCAGTCATTCAATTTTGTCTCGACTCCTCATAACTTCCTTATAATTACTAGGTTCTTCATCAAGGACCTCACTTGTAAAAATTAAGGCATAAGCTATGAGATCTACATAACCAAGTCTCTAAGATGGCTTGATGACTCTTCTCAACCTGTCTCTTGCTAGTAGGTAGTCATTATCAGTCTCTTCATCTTCGGCATCAGTTTCTGCTTCTTCTTCGACTTCATCTGGGTCATGCAATTCAGCGTCACTATGCTCCACCTCAACAGGAATCTCTCCCTGTTCTAGCTCTTCTTTAGAAATATTCGAACTTTGACCAACGTCATCAATTTTTTTGAAAGCCATCTCAACTTCATTAATAACTACATCTCGACTTGTGATACACCTCTTGTGACCTGGCTCTAGGAACCACAACCTATAAGCATTGACTCCTTTAAGGTATCCAAGGAAAATACATTTCAGAGCTCTAGGTTTGACCTTGTCTTGCCTAATGTGAGCATAGGCTAAGCATCCAAATACTCTATCGAGACTAGGTGGATGTCCTGACCAGACTTCTTCAAGTGTCTTCATTCCCAAGGCAGTCGAGGGACACATATTTATCAGGTAAGCTGTAATTATAACAACTTCTGCCCCAAAACACCTTCTTCAATCCTGCACTTACTAACATACACCTCACCCTTTCTAGAATGGTTCGATTAAACCTTTCAGCCAAAACATTTTTTCGGTGAGTCCCTGCAAAAGGTATGTGCCTTACAATACCATATGCAACACAATAGTTATCGAATGCCTCATTACAAAATTCAATACCATTGTCGGTCCTCAACCTCTTAACCTTCCTGCTAGTTTGGTTTTCGACCAGAATCTTCCAACTTTTGAAATTTTCAAAAGTTCCATCCTTAGTCTTCTGGATGAATACCCATAACTTTCTAGAGTAATCATCAATTATGGATAGAAAATACTTTGCACCAGAAAGTGAAGGATTCCTTACAGGCCCCCAAAGATCAGCATGAGTGTAATCTAAGGATCCATGTATTCTTTGTTTACCTTTGTTAAACTTCATTCTACAGGATTTATAATATACAATAAAACTCCAGTTTTTCGACCTTGTCACCACCCAACATCTTTTGTTTCGACAATTCGACCAGGCCTCTTTCACTGACATGGCCAAGTCTCTTGTGACATAGCTCAGTCTTCGACACAGGTCAAAAACATGTTTATTGACTTAAGTCCCCAATCAATTGGGTAGTTCAAAAAACTTAATCACTTGGCTCGGCCTTGAGATAATCTTTAAGATGTAAAAATGATTAAAAAATATTTTTAAGTGTGTGTGTGTGTGTGTGTTAGAGAGAGAGAGAGAGGGGGGGGGAGAGAGAGAGAGAGAGAGAAAGAGAAAGAGATAGAGAGAGAGAGTTGCCTTAGTAGATTATTTCTGCCAAGAATTGTGAATTATGTTGTTGTACCATATTAAAAACACTATTCAGTAGATAAGCAGATCATTCTATCCCAAGGTTGGGCTGTAACAACTGAAGGCCATTGGTTATTTCCTATGTGAGTAACATAGGTAGTATTGGAGATCGAAGCAATGGTTTACCTTGTTGAATTTGTTGTGTAGGCTCGAAGAACAAAAGAGCATGGAGCACTTCTTGATTAACTATCAGTGGAGCAGTATCTTGTTATGAGGGATTGGAAGAAGATGCTACTAGGACTAGATCATTCTCTATCTAAGAAGGAGGAGATGGAGCTTTAGCAGCTTTGATGACGGTTTGTCGTTGAACAGAGTATCGAGTGACTTTGAATGCTGCCATGGTTGATGAATCAAAAGATGGGTTTGTTGGGTGCTCAAAAAAGATCACGAAGCTTCAAGAACAAAGATAAAAAAAAATGGAGATCTAAACTTTCTAAGAAAAGAGATTTGGATCTCTAGATCAAAGGAATTAGATTTCATGGAAATACATGGGATTTAGATTTCGATTCTCATCGATGATGTCATTTTTTTGTTGGTGGAATCAGAATTGTTCGGTGAGCGATTCAGTAATGTTCCACTACGGTGGACTTGAGCTTCTGGTGAGACGAGTAAGGGCTGACTTGTATTGTTAGTACTTCAACACTTAAGTCAAAAAGAGAATGAAAATTAATGTGAGTGTGAGAATATATTTGAATACCTGAGAGTTGTGTGCCTTTCACCTCATATACTAGGGGCAGTGAAAAATGCATGTAAGGGACACAATGTACACGTGGACAACCGTCTGATTTATCTAGATGGTGGGTGATGCATCAATGGGTGGACTTGTCTACTTTTGGTGGAAACGAGGATGTTTATGTTCCTCATGTTCGCTCCCTTTATTCTTTCCACTAGGTCTTTCACTGTAGGCCTTGCAGGTGGCCAAGAACATCTTTGTATGGCTTGCAATCAACTGCGTAAAATTTGTCTTTTTTTGTCAGCACACAAAATAGTAATAATCACTTAAATTTATAAAAAAAAACATGAGTATCAGGTTCGAACCCTGATTATAACGTCAAACTTAATCATATGGGATTTTCAACCAACATTTAATTTATTCTTATGTGTAAATATATCAAACGCGCTCATTCCAGTCACGAGTTTGTAATTAACGAGATTGTTCTTTCCATCCTTAGGGGTACTCCCACACCCGGTGAAAAGTAAAAAAATGTATCTAGAATCTGGAAATGCATCTCCAAAAGCACCTAAGATTACACCAACAAAAGCGTTGCAAGTGAGACACCTCTATTTTGCCTTAAAAAATGCCTGGAGATACATCTTTAAATTCTGGAGATGTATCTCTGTAAGGTGTTAAAATTGACACTTTAACGAACATTGTAACATCGTTGACATGGAAACACTTGGTTGACTCTTTCTGAGTGTCGCCCTTAATCAATTTTGTTTTTATCTCCATATACATTAGCATCAATTTGGTTCTAATTCAGTGAGGAGTTCATTATCTCCAAACTCAATGATTTTGTGTAATTTGCTTTAAATTTTTTTCTTTTTTTGCATCTGCATTCAAACACAAATTTTTAAGAACATTTATGGGTACTTCATGTGTTTGTTTCATTATTCTGAATGCATTACTGTAATCGAGTCATTAACCAAATTCACATTATCAAAATCATAAGTATAACTATCAAATTCATCATTCATCTGAACATGCATTTGAAAAAACTTAGATCTTGAGCTTATAAATAAATTAAATGGTAGCAAGTCAACCTTAAAATAAGTAACTTAAACATAAGAAAATAAGAATTGAACATTACTACTTCAAAGTGTCATTCATACATCATTGATTTAACATTTTATGGGGATACTTCTCTGGAATTCGGAGATGCATCTTCGAACATTTTTTTTTAATAAAGTAGTAAGTCAGCCTTAAAATAAGTAACTTGAACATAAGAAAATAAGAATTGAACATTACTACTTCAAAGTGTCATTCATACATCATTGATTTAACATTTTACGGGGATACTTCTCCGGAATTCGGAGATGCATCTTCAAATATTTTTTTTTGAATAAAGTAGAAGTGTCTCACTTGCAATATTTTTGTTGGTGTGATTTTAAGTACATTCGGAGATGCATCTCCGAATACAAGAATAACATTTTTGAATTTTTAGAAGTGTGGATGACACCCTTAAATAGTGTAAAGAGTAAACTCTAAAATTAAATTATAAACTACTCACAACATGTTTGAAAATTGACCTTGTCAAAATAAAGCGAACCTTAATTGCTTTTAAAAATTCGATCAAATTATCAAAGTAAAGGAGATGTTTTTTTTAATTAAAAATAGTACACTGATAGTGTAAATCAGTCTTACATAGTCATCCAAAAGATTCATATTTCAGCCATATCACACAATTAATTTAAAAATATCAAGGTGACATCATAATACATAATAATATAATAATAATTAATAATAATTGATAACAGTATAAAATTATTTTACAATGTCGGTCTATATTTTTTTTTTGTAATGTCTTGCTTACATCCTTGAGACATTGACTTTAATATAATTTATTATTTATTATTTGGTACTTGAAGAAAGTCAATTTGTAGTAGTTGATGTAAAAAATCACTAAACAAACTCTAAATCCAAACAACTCCCATCTGATGTATTTATCTTTGGAACCTTTCCCTTGATTAGTTGAACCAAACATTTTGCCAATGAAATTTCATCTTTTCTACATGTAAACCCCTTAAACTTTATCACTTTTAAATGCTCCAATTTTGTGCATTTAGTTGCTTGCATTGAGAATGAATTGGATCTTCCAGCTGAATAACTTTCATCATCAATCTGCATCTCAATTAGATAAAAAATAATAATAATATGAAGAACAATAAGTAGAATAATTAATCCTTAAGAAAGAAAACATACCGTCACAAAAAGTTGCTCTAAGGAAGGACATAGTTTCAAGAAGGAGAATAATCCATCCATGAAATATTCATCTTTGTAATAGCTATCAACCCAACATAACTCTCTTAAATTGTAGAAATTAAAGCATCCATATGGAGGAGAAATTGATGGCCATATTAATTCCTACAAAGAAAATCTTATAAGGTTAAATAGAAAATCTCATCGAGACGGAGAGAATCACAGATAACAGCAAAACCCTCTTTTAAAGAAATTTAACATTGGTATGTGTTCAGGGCTGAGTTCGAACACAGAACCTCTCATTCAAGTATTCTTGAATAAAGAAAATCAAAGATTGAGAATGCGAGAAATTTAAATTATAGATATTATTATCTGATTTTAAATTAGTCGAGACTATTTATAAATAAATTTGCAATAAAGGGTATACCTCAAAAGTCCATCTACAAAGTGTAAGAGCTTGAGAATTCTTTATTGTCAACAAAGTTGCATCAAAATCCTTACTCACAATTCTTCCACAACTTGGTCCTAATCTAAAATCAAGAATAGCATCACAAAGATTGAAATGAAATTCAGGCATAATCCAAGGAAGTGATCCTCTATATTGAAATGATTTGAGTTTAGAAGTTTTAAGATGAAGAGACTTCAACTCCAAGCAATCCAAAATTGTTAACTTGTGAAGCTCAAAGTTAGAGTCAATACTCAAAGATTTCAATCCATTACATGAAACGATCACCAAATTCTCAAGATGATCCAACCTTGAAACAATAGATGAAGCTACTTCACTAGTTAAATAGCTTATTGATTTCAAGTAAAGAGTTTTGAGTGAGAAAATATTGTTGTAGGTTATATTTTTTTCCTCATTGAGTTTGAATTGAAGTTCATAATGTTTTTGAATATTTTCAATGATGAACTCTTTCTTCAAAGGAGAGAAGTTGAAATCTAGTAGAAGCTTAGTACTATTAGCAATAGTAGCTAATAATACATGATCTTGATCATAGTGGAGTTGAAGCTTTCTTGGATGTTTCAATGGATCAAAATCATCAAAACTTGTGAGAAATTTGGCAAGAATATTAGTGATGTCTTGTTTTGTTCCATGTCTAACAATGGCTTCATTCCATAAGTCTCTCCACTTTGTTGAAATGAGGATGGTTTCCATTGATGATTCATTTGGGAGAAAAGAAACTATGTGACCAAGAATTTCTTTTGGTAAATTGCTTAAAAAATCACTTGTTGTATTGTGTTTTTCCATATGGAACTTGTTTTTTGGAAATGCTTTTTTTAATCAATTAAAATATAACATGACATTTGTATTAATAACTTCAAAAGAAACTCCAAATATTTAATGGGGGTGTGGATAAGATATAGTTTTAAATATGAATTTAATTTTACAAATTTAGAGTGTTAAAAAAATCATATAAACTATACGTTTTCGACGTACAAGTACAATTACAGAAATTAATAGCAAAAAATTAACAGTGTTACGTGTTCATAATCAAGTTCGAACTCAAAAAATCTAGTTAAGTTAAAAAAGACTTATCATATTCATTCAAATATTCTTGAGATATAGTATTAAAATTTAATAGAAAAAAATATTTTGTCCATATAATTTTTTAAATTTGATTCTTTTTAATATAACAAAATAAAAATTTATTATAAGTTTTTGAAGACATTTAAAGTTATGTGAATGAGCAAAATAAAGTATATCCGTTTTGGAAATTATTAAATGCTATTTGAATCCAATTTATTGTAGCAACAAGTAATGTCAACTTTATCTCATTTAATTTTAATCTTTAACTAGAAAGGCTTAATTTTGTTCAACTTACTAATAGTGATGTCAACTTTATCTCATTTAATTATGGAAACAAAGAACTTTGAGCCTAATTAGTACTCTTTTTGGGATTGGTTTGTTATAGAATGCAATTCATATTTTTACGGTTTAATTGCTAAATTGATGCTCATTACTTTATAGTGTATGAGGTGATGGATCTATATGGTATACCTAATAGTCACACAATATTGAATTATTATTGTTCATCTAACAACTTATATTGCAAATTATCCTCTTCAACTACTTATTCCCTCTTCAACATTTATATATCAGTCCATACAAAATTCTACTCAGACTCCGATAGGTCTTTGGTGTCTCTGCTAATAGATCAGGATAATATGATTGATCGCCCGAATTAATCGGATACCACATTTTAGAAATCACTACTAGTGAGAGGCTCATGACCATCTTCACCAATGAAGATATTATCATAGATGATAGCAGCAATAGCTGCACCAATAAATGGGCCGGCCCAATAGACCCAATGATGAGTCCAAGTCCAGCTAACAACAGCAGGCCCAAAAGAAACAGCTGGGTTCATTGATGCACCATCAAATGCTCCACCAGCTAAGATATTTGCACCAACAATGATACCAATTGCAACGGGAGCAATGATTCCTATGTTGCCTTTTTTTGGATCCACTGCTGTTGCATAAACTGTGTATACTAACCCAAATGTCATCACAATTTCAAAAACTAGTGCGTTCCATACTGATACGTCTGAGGATAATGCAAATGCTGATGTCTCCTGAAATATTCAAATTACGCAATATTACTACAAATCTATATAATGTTCACACTTCAGATTAAAGTGTGCGCTCTCGGCCAATTGGTCGGGCCAAAATTGATAGGTCAACACATTTTTTAAACTAACCGGACGACATATATATTACTTTCACGAGTTTGATCTAGTTTTAAATATGGAATAGTTACCATTTTAGATATATTAGTTATTAAAGATGAATGGTTACCATTCCACCAGTAGCAGACTTGAGAAGAATGCAAGCAACAACTGAGCCAAGTAACTGTGCAATCCAATATAACATGCTTCTCAAAAGTGTGATGTTTCCACCAATGAAGGCACCAAATGTGACTGCAGGGTTGACATGACCACCAGAGATGTTGGCTCCAACAGAAACAGCAACGAATAGTCCAAATGCATGAGACAGTGATGCAGCTATTAGTCCAGCAGGTGTTGCGGGTCCATTATTTGTAATTTTGTCTGCCAAAATAACCAACAATCAATCACTTATTTCACTGCCAAAACAACCAATAAATGTAAGTTTTTGTGAGAGTGGTGCTCACTGTAAGCCATGCCAGAGCCTTGACCAGCAAAAACAAAAATGAGCATAGAGAAGAATTCAGCAAATGCAGCTCTAATTGCATCAGGTTGCCCGGCTTCTCCGGGAGACCCAATTGCAATTCTATGGATTGGCATTATTAATACTAATCACCTCAAGAATTAAGAACCTAAACAAAAAAATACAAGATCAGATTCCTATGTGTTTGTTGATTTTATTTAGTTTTTGTAAGGTTTGGTTGAAATTAAGTGAGGAAAAACAATGAGAACTTTGTTTGGTGTTTATATAAGCCATGCATGCATGCAGGTAGTGAAGTGAGTGTGACACTTGGTCATGGTTTTGACATGTATGTGGATGTGATGTGATATAGCTGCATCTGAAATTGGAGATTAATGTTGGGTAATGTGTTAACCCAAAAGGGACGGGTAGCCAAACATTTGAGGACAAACACATCTCATCAAGTTTAAATTTTTGTTAGAAACTAGTTTATTCTATTAAAATCAATAAGAATTTCTTTTATTAGTAAATTATCCTACCCTTGAATTTTTAATCAAAAAATGTTTTTTTTATCAATTAGTTTCATGTTTTAACATAAAATAAATTGCACAAGAATGTTTTATCTGAAATTGGAGATTAATGTTGGGTAATGTGTTAACCGAAAGTGACGGGTAGTCAAACATTTGAGGACAAACACATCTCATCAAGTTTAAATTGTTGTGAGAAACTAGTTCATTCTATTAAAATCAATAAAAATTTCTTTTATTAGTAAATTACCCTACCCTTGAATTTGTAATCAAAAAATGTTTTTTTTAACAATCAGTTTCATGTTTTAACATAAAATAAATTGCACAAGAATGTTTTTAATTTTTAGAGATGAGCAAATTACACCTATAATTCTCACACGTTTAAAATTTTGAATTCCAACTCAAACAAAAATATTCAGAAATGGGCAATGAGTAAGGCTTGTGCAGTGTACTATAGTACTAGTCTCTATATTCGCAATTTGAAAAAATTTGCACACCCGATCTCATATATGCATGGACACAAATCTTCGAGTAAAATACAAAAATAGAAATTTTGTAAACAAGTTTTTGCGCATAGATTTGGCAAGTGAACGAGATCATTTAACTAAGTATTTGTATGAAATAATAAATAATTTCTTCCAACTTAATCACTAAATTCAAATTCATTCCTAAACATGCAGCACTAGTTCAGTCCAAGTCAAGAGATTAGTCTCAATTGCACCCAGTTTCTAAAAAAAATGAACGTGATAATTTATTGTATCAATGGAAAATAGTGCAGCTGTCGCATTCTTTCAGTCATCCAGTTTGATAAATAGAAAAACTTTATGCAAGTAAAAAAAAAGTTCAAACAAAATTATTTTTGTATTTTACTCGAAGATTAAACAGTTAGGCATTATAGAATGCACTAATATTTTTGGCGAATACACTTGAAAATTTGCATCCATTATATTCAAATAAACACTCGTAATTCAAACAGAAAAAGCAATGCCTTCTAAACTATTGCTATATATATTTTATATATACAAAGGCTACATCTCTTTGTTCAGAATTCTCTACAATTATCACAAGTTGAATAAACAAAATTACAGTAAAGAATAAGTTTATATCATCCATGCATGGGTTAGGGAGAATGAAAAGAAATCCTGAGAAGGAGTCACCACAGCAGAATTAGTGTTTGATTCCATCCTCTATTGAGAAACAAATCAATACAATGGATAGAAAACACCCCAAGTCGCCACCAAAGAATCCGCCAGAATCGAAAACCAACCAAACGCAAAAATTCTATATACTTAAACCCTACTATCTCTTCCTCCTACAGTATCTCTCCTATGCCTACTAATGCAGAGAGCTAATGCAAGCCCAAACATAATATCCACCAGATATTCTTGAAAATAATAATTCAGGGGCTCATCTCAAGCAGAAAATCAAATATGCACATGAACCAACATTCGTAGCATTCACTCATATCACATACTCCCGTACTAACTAAGCCGATGCTGACGCATGGCCTTACCAAAATGAGGTTGCATCAATCGGACATACAGACCATTCTTTGCAACCAACGAATCATGACTCCCTTCTTCCACTATCCGTCCTCCATTAAGCACTACAATATTGTCCACGTGCCTCATCATTGCAGCTCTATGGGCTATTAAAATAGTGGTCTTGTTTCCCATTATTAGTGTGTCTAGAGCTTCTTGTATCACTCGGCTTGACTCGGATTCAATTGATGAACTTGCTTCATCCAACAATAAGATAGGTGCATTTTTTAGTACTACTCTTGCAATTGCGATTCTCTGTTTCTGTCCTGGGGTTAAGTCAACACCTCTCATCCCAACATGAGTGTCATAACCGTGAGGCAAACTGCTAATAAAATGATGAGCATTTGCTATTCTTGCTGCTTCTTTCATCTCAGCTTCACTGGCATTGTGTCTTGCATAGATAATGTTTTCCCTTATGGTTGTTGAGAAGATAATAGGTTCCTGCTGAATCAGACCGAGGTGGCTCCTCAACCATCTCAAGTTATAGAGCTTTAAATCCCTTCCGTCCAGTAAAATTTGGCCCGCAACTGGATCATAAAATCTCTGCATCAAAGATATTATAGTGCTCTTTCCTGACCCTGAAACGCCAACAACAGCAACTGTTTGGCCTCCATTCATTTTCAGACTAAAATTGCTCAATACTAACACTTCAGGACGTGATGGATAACAAAAATCGATATTTTTTAACTCGATGCTTCCATATACATTGGGTGGCTTCAAAGCTTTGTTATCGTCAGGATCAATTTTAGGCTCACGGTCTATAATGTCAAACACTGATATGAGGGATTTCCGTCGTTTAAGTATGTAAGGAGCCAATCCAAAAGGCTCCACAAGGGCAAATGTGGCGAAGGAGAAAACCATGTACTCCCTCAGTGCAGTGGATGGATTGATGTAACCATTCTTAATACATATTGCAGTGTACCAAAGTAGAAGGGCATTACAAGCAAAAAGTAGAAACTGTGAAAAGCCAAATGCAAAACCAATCCCCATCCCATGAAGAAAGCTCTGCTTAAATATTTTCTTTAACTGCAGCCTATAGAGCTCCATTACCTTATTTCCGGCACAAAATGCGACAACAGTGTATATATTTCTAACTGCATCTTCAAGAACCAACGATGCTTTTCTGTGCATTTCTTGTATGCCTCTTGAAAATCCAGCTAGCCACAATTTCTGCAATATTGAAGCAGGTTGTAATTAATATAGATTTTATGCAAGATTAAAGTAAATCAACTAAACTCTCATATTGATCGTTACAATCATTAGCAAGTCATTCATAAAATTAAGGGAAAAAACATTATGTTGTGTGTTGTGGATCTCACTTTCTCATAGTAGGTCTTGACTTCTTTATTTGGATGAGCAGGTCATAATTTAATATCATTAATTAATATGTAGGATAATATTTTTACAGAAACTGACAATTAACCCAAACATGAAATCTTAAACTAGCAACCAATCATGTTGACATTGATGCTGCAAGGAAATACAACAACAATAACCAAAGTTTTTTACCACTATGTCAAGTTGCTGCAAGGAAATACAACAACAATAACAAAAGTTTTTTACCGCTATGTCGAGTTGCTACATGGATCGAACAATTCTTGACACTACAAAGAGATGATGTAATAGCATACTAATACAAAGACAAAAGTCCGAATTTCATGAAGCACAAAATTAGCCATAGACACTGTCAAATTAAGCTGATTATAAACCAATAATAGATCAACTGAAATATGCAGTTACTGCAACAACACAGAAATTTCATTATCAATGTTTGTAATCACAACAGAATATTTGTTGAGTTTTCATGCTAAAAAAAGTTGTGATGCTTAATTTTGGAGGCAAATAAATCTAGAAAAAACAAATTAAAATTACTCTTTTTTTCCTTTCCTTTTAAAGTATTTCTAAGTCTAACATAATGCAGACATCTCTAGGTTTTGTATTTGTTATGTCTCCCAAAAGTCACAACATTCTTGCTGTAAATTTATACTATTTGTCACAATAAAGAATGAATAGAATGAACGAAAACGATAATGTGCCATTAACACGACATCAGCAAAATAAAATCACACAATTCTGGATCAGCATTCATGTTTCGCTCATAAACGGATATTTGTATGAATTATAAAATTTTAAAATCACTGGCTCTTGCTAGAGGTATAAGTTTCGACAAAAAGAAAAGGCACAGCAAAGAAATATAGAATAAGTCCAATCATAAGGTATGTTAGCTCGAAAAATATTCATGTTAGAGTCTCTATGACCTGGTGGTTTAGAGATTAATCCCTGTTGTCCACATTCAGCTAAATATCAAATTCAATTTAACACAAAATAATATGGATTTAGGCACTGTCTCTCGCATAAGGGACATGTTAGCTTCTAGGATATTTGGTTCATAGCAAGGGAAAATTGTAATATTTGGAAAACCAGAAGTGCAGGTGCAAACCTGGGCAACTGCAGAAATACAGAGAATTGGAAGGGTTGCACAAGCCACCAGTGCTAACCGCCAGTGCAGCACAGCACCAATGAGAAGGCCAACAATAACTGCAGCACTGTCTTGTATAAATATGGAAAGTCGATTGCTAAAAGCAGCTCGTACAAAAGTAGCATCATTGGCCAATCTCATGGATAAATTGTCTGCACTGTTTTCCTCATCATCAAACCATCCTACTTCATTCCGTAGCATGGCTGCCATGTTAATGAAACAGATAAAAATGTTCACAAGTCCCATTTTTTAAATAAAAAAAAAATAGCAAAAGGCTGAGCTATGCACCTGAGAACATCATTCTCCTAACTCGTTCTGTCATTTTCTCTCCCATAATACCAAAATAGAAATGCTGCAAAAAGTTGGCAATAACTGTTACTATACCCATGCCGCCAATGATCAAGCACCACTTGTCTATCTCTTGTTCTAAGTGATGTTGATTATCAATTCTGTAGTAAGCTGCCACCACAAGGCCAATAACATAAGCCAGGAGGGGATTGAAAGAACCAAAGGCGGCGGCACCAATGCTTCCTAACACAGCATAAAGCCACTCTGCAGAACTAAGTTCGGCCAACTTCCGAAGTGAGGGTGGT